ACCTACCTACCTACCTACCTACCTACCTTTAATGCGGCGGGTTGTACATTAACAATTCTGAATAGTTCAAAATTAAGGCAAAAAAGCTGAACACTTTGTAGTTGTCAATCCTTAGTAGAACATGTGCATTAATGTGATGTACAATACAATTCATATAGCCTTCTTTTAAGTGTGACATAATTGTTCAAATATGTTTTGGGGTCACTATATATATTCACTTAAAGTCTTAATGAACTACTGTCTTTCAAGTGTCATCATACACAGACAGCTAAAAAAAAAAAAAATATATATATATATATATATGAAAGTAACTGTTAATCTAGCATTTTTCATTCAAAGAAATGTTCACAGGAACATTAGTTTCTGAATCTTTTTCTGAATTCTTTTTTACTCTGTCTCCATTAGCCATCAATAATCATAAATAATCTTAGTTGAAATAGGCCAGAGCTTGACTGGGTCGGTGCCTTCTCACTGTAGGACTAGAATAACAACATTCTATTCCCGGCAGGGGGCCGATCAACAGTGGCATCAATCAGTGTAATAGGAACGCGCCAGGCTTTGCCATTAATTGCGCGGCTGGGCATGCAGAAACACAATTAGAGCAGTGGAAATTAGGCCATGTGTTTAGCAACTTGTAGGGGTCATGCTGGCACTCATATGTCATGTAGCTGGCTGGTGGGATGTTTAGAGTCAGTACGGGGTCTTTCTGCACTTCTTTGACAGTATGTTCAATATGTTTAGCATTATGCTTCTGGTAATGTATGGGTCATAGGATCTGAGTATACATTATGTTCTCCTACTGCCCACTCACTTCGACTCATTCCACTAGAAGCATTTTTTTTTCCTTTTCGTTTTTGTACTATTTTTGTTGGCAGCATTTTTGCCTGTTTTATTAGGACAGAGAGAGATGGAGGGGACATGACATGATGGAATATAAGGGCAGAACAGGCTCGGGACATTATTTAAGCTGGAATTTGCATCAGGGTTGTGTTGTATGTCAGTTCCTCAATGTGAGCAATATTTGAAAGCATTTTTAATTTCTTTTTTTTATTATTATTATTATTTTTTATTTTAAATTTGTAGTTTTGAATTCTCATTTCTCATTTTTATTTGCAGTATTTCTTTCAGTATAAATTACCACTAATTATACAACATTTTCCAGAAATATTATCTGAGTATGCATTTTTCAGTCAAATTTGTGCTTCCTCACTTTTGGAAAGCATCAGCTGCCACTAGTATTTACTTATTTATAAATGTTTTGAATTGAACCTTTTATTTTTATTATTTATTTTCTTATATTTTAGTTTTAGTATGTTTGTATTTATTTGGTATGTGCTTTTAACATTTGTATTATTATTTTTCTATTATTGTTATTGATGACAATAATAATGTAAGTGCTTGGCAACATTTCTACTTTTCATTTAGGTTCGTTTTTTTCATCTAATATTTATATTATTTATATGCTTTTTTGTTTTTTTTGTTATTAATATTTTTAATTTTTATTTGCATATTTTATCATGTTTTTATTTTAATTCTAGTATTTCTTTATTTGGTATGTGCTTTTGTCATTTTAATAGGGTTTGTTTTATAATTATTGCTATTTATGATTCATTTATTTTTTAGTTTAGGTTTAATTCAGTTTTAGCTTTTCAAATTTTAATTTAATTGTTTTTCATCTAATATGTGTATTTTATTCCAGCTTAATTTCGATTAACACATTTCTTGAATCGTTTTAGTTATAATTAGCAATAATAACCCTGTTAACTGCTAGGCCTTATTACTGTATGTTGCACATATATAGAAGTGAAGAGTCACTTTAGGAATGATACAATCTAATTAAACTGAACTGACTTGTCTGCTCTAGGTATTTGGATTCTTATTGTACTTGAACCTCTTTGAACTCTGCGTATTTCTGGGTTAGATTCAGTGATTGGGGGCAATCTTCTCAGAAACAGTCTCTTCAGATCTCATCAAAAGCAGCAGTCCTGTTATTGAGCATCTGTGTGATGCCTCCTGTCAGTAAACAGCTTGTGATGCTAACTGTCTTTGTTCTGTCTTAATGTAATGTTCAGTGACTTGTCAAGATGTACAATGCAATCTTCAGATGTTTTTTGACTCTTGTCTGTTCATTTAAAGATTTGAACAACTACATCAATGTTTCTGTAGAAATGAAGGATGACTACTCCACAGCACACACTTTTGACACTTTTGTATTTTGTCTTTTTTTAATGCACAGACAATTAAAATGTATTACAGAAATATATAGCTTGCACAAAGATTCTTCGGACACCCTAGCTTTTTCATCTAATATTTATATTATTTATATGCTTTTTTGTTTTTTTTGTTATTAATATTTTTAATTTTTATTTGCATATTTTATCATGTTTTTATTTTAATTCTAGTATTTCTTTATTTGGTATGTGCTTTTGTCATTTTAATAGGGTTTGTTTTATAATTATTGCTATTTATGATTCATTTATTTTTTAGTTTAGGTTTAATTCAGTTTTAGCTTTTCAAATTTTCATTTAATTGTTTTTCATCTAATATGTGTATTTTATTCCAGCTTAATTTCGATTAACACATTTCTTGAATCGTTTTAGTTATAATTAGCAATAATAATCCTGTTAACTGCTAGGCCTTATTACTGTATGTTGCACATATATAGAAGTGAAGAGTCACTTTAGGAATGATACAATCTAATTAAACTGAACTGACTTGTCTGCTCTAGGTATTTGGATTCTTATTGTACTTGAACCTCTTTGAACTCTGCGTATTTCTGGGTTAGATTCAGTGATTGGGGGCAATCTTCTCAGAAACAGTCTTTTCAGATCTCATCAAAAGCAGCAGTCCTGTTATTGAGCATCTGTGTGATGCCTCCTGTCAGTAAACAGCTTGTGATGCTAACTGTCTTTGTTCTGTCTTAATGTAATGTTCAGTGACTTGTCAAGATGTACAATGCAATCTTCAGATGTTTTTTGACTCTTGTCTGTTCATTTAAAGATTTGAACAACTACATCAATGTTTCTGTAGAAATGAAGGATGACTACTCCATAGCACACACTTTTGACACTTTTGTATTTTGTCTTTTTTTAATGCACAGACAATTAAAATGTATTACAGAAATATATAGCTTGCACAAAGATTCTTCGGACACCCTAGCTATTTGAGATAGACTTCTGGGGTCAACTGGCCTTAGTTTGAGATCTGCCATCCTAACGGCTCTAGAAATCTCTGGAGATTTAAGGTATAGTCTGTTCTTTTCCATGGCTACTGACTAGAGCACATGGAGCAGAAACGTCTAAATGAATTCCCTCCGGACCTGAATGGACTCATCTCATCCATTAGGATTCCCTTGAGATCCACCTTGCAGCTTCAAGTCCAAATAATTCCATTTAGACACATTTTAATGTATGTTGTGTTTCACGCACTGCTTGCTCCAGGTAACTGCTCGAACGATCTGTGCTTTTAACCTCTGCCGGTTGTCTTCTCTTGTTTCTATCTGTTGTATGAGATTTTGAGCCATAATAATGTATAACAGAGATTTGGAAAGATAGTATTTTGATAAATATAATTTGTCTGATTTATTGTCTGAATGCATCTGAAAACGTACCATTGACTCTGATTGTGTGCTTCCAAAACAGATCCTTCATATACATTACAGTAGGATACAGCCTTGAATTATTATTATTGTTATTATTATTATTATTTTAAATATTTTGCCCAGTTTAAAATAACTGTTTATTTCTATTTTTTTTATATAATTTTTTTTTTAATACAATTTATTACTATGAAGCTGAATATTCAGCAGCCATTACTCCAGTCTTCAGTGTAACATGATCCTTCAGAAATCATATATTTTTAAAAAAAAATATTGAATATGCCTTTTAATGTTTTTGTGGATTCTGAGATAATTTTCAGAAAGTTCGAAGAACAGCATTTATTTGAAAAAGAAGTCCTTTGTCACTTTTGATCAATTCAGTATGTCCTTAGTGATTGACAATATTAATTTCTTTCAAAAACAAACAAACTAAACTTTTAATGAAAGTCTATTAATGATTTTGCCAAATATTTGGCACATATATTTATATAGTATATAAGTATATACTTACACACACACACACACACACATATATATATATATATATATATATATATATATACACATATATATATTATTTTAATATATATATATTTACTCTAATATAATTCTCTCTCATCTACTTTTTATTTTTTTAATTATTTTTTATTTTTTTTTTTTTTTTG